CTTGAAGATTCAGCTACTCCTGATCATCTTCTTTCAGATCTATCAGTTCTCTTACGTGTTACCATTGTTCCAAAACATAACTAAAATAAAAAAATTAAAATTTTATAACATTAATTCCAATTAGTCTAGTAAATATAATTATATTGCTGAGGAGTTAAAATATTACAGTCTTTAGCTCCCTCATGTGATGAAACAGCACCAGTGAATATAAGCTGCAAAGAAATATTCTCCTTGTTCATTTCAAATAGGAAAGAAAGAGGCTTCAAGGAAATGTTATTTAGAGGTAGAAATTGATAAGCACAAGTCATAAAACGTTTCTTTCAAAATTCCTTTAATATTTATGTGTTGTAAAAATGTGCAAAAAGTTCACAAAATCTAGGTTTTTGTGATGCTTATTACAATAATTATAGAAACTACTAATATATTCTAGTTCTAATACTATCTAACATCTACTATATAATATATCCAAGTTCTAATAGTACTATCGACTATCTAATACTGCCTACTTCTAATACTACCCACTATCTACAATCTACTATGTCCTAGTTTAATGCTATCTAATATCTAGTATCTAATATGTCCTAGTTCTAATACTAATATCTACTATCTAATATTGCCTAGTTCTAATACTATCCACTGTCTACAATCTACTATGTCCTAGTTCTGATGCTATCTAATATTTAGTATCTAATATAACCTAGTTCTAATACTATTTACTATCTAATATATCCAAGTTCTAATACTAACATCTGCTATCTAATATCTCCTAGTACTAATACTATCCAGCATCTAATATCTACTAGTTCTATGGGCTTGACTGGAATCACCCAATGCAAGCCATCATTTGTCTATCAAACCTCATCATGGGTTTTTTTTACTGGGGAAAAGGTTTGTTTTTTCCTTACCCTCTGTGCTTAAATTAGAGTTTGGATCATTGCTACTCAAGATGCGGTTTGGACCAAACAGTTTTTCCAAAAGAAGCCTTTTCTTTTCCGGCAATATCACGGGCCTGGTTTCTTCACTGGGAGTGAATGCGGTGTCTTTTTGTCTTTTCTTGGGCAATTTGGCAAATGAGGGCTCATACTTGTTGACAGAATCAACTGAAAAGTCAGTCTATATCACCCTGTTGCCTGTTCCTTCGTCTTCTATTGCATGTTGTCTTTGGACCTGTTGAAGGATATCCCTGATGTAAATTTTGAATGGCCTTTGAAAATACATACTGTTTTTTAGAGGTAGATGGTGTTCTATGCCTTTCTATTGTTAATATGTCACAAACAGCTTCTTTTGCCTCTTTATCTTCTTTGTTTTCCTGTTTTTCAACTGGTTTGGTCTTTAATATCTCAAATTCTGCGTTCAATAGTTCCAACCTTTGCCTTTCTCTCCTGTTCTTGTGTCTTTCTATATTTTCATACTGGGTATTTTTTTTCTACCCTTGGGCAGATCTCTTCACTTTGTAATCCTGCAAAAAATGTTATTTCAACAGTAACTATTTAGAAAAATGGATCATTTGTTAGAGAAAACAACAGTGACAAAAGTGGTTGTTGGAAGGTCGCATAAAAGGATCACATGACCCCAGTCATAAATATGAACCAGTTGACAAGCATTTGAATTTTGATGATGTTACCATGGGGATGCTGCACTGGTCCTAAGTAAGAAAAATAGTCATAAGAGTTACTTTTTTAAGTACCCTTGTAATTTTGAATGGTCACTATATGAACTGTTGTAAGTCAAAGACTACCTGTATTCTATCTAGTGTTACAAATTATTTAAACTGGAACCTTCAGTTAAAATAAACTGTCCAAGAAACATGCCACATTCTGTATTTCTTCTGAAGAGCAGACATTATTCACATTAACACAGAGCAGTTATAAAATAAAGCATTATAGCACAATGTTTGATTCCTTAAGCAAAAGGTATGTTTGCGATTTTTACAGTTCAATATTTATAGTCATTTATGGTTTTTACCCAAGAATGTCCTGTTTGAAATGTTCTGCACTGGTAATATTTCAGGGAGATGAACTCCTGTTTCAGGGACAACTTTTTTAGCCATGTTAACTAATTCTTTCACCTCTCTGTTGGTTTTCAATTCCTAAAAGGTCACAGAGAAAAGCAGATATCTGTAAGTGAATGTTACCTTTTACATGTATAAGTGATAAAGTGTTGTTAAATCTCCATTAATATCCTCCCTTCCATTTCGTTTTTCTCTGTCTAATAAAGTGTCTCTCTAAAGTCTCCCAATATTGAATTAACATAATTTTAAATTATAATCCAAAATAGGAAAACATCAATAAATAAGGGCTTTGTTTTATTTATTTCTTAGATTTATATCTCCTTCAAGTCTTCCATATTTCTTCCAAAATTTCTTTACAATAGAAACTCCATATTATTTGATTGATAGTCACTAAAGCAAAGTTGCCTATGGCATTGCGAGTCAAGGTGGACTTGAACCTAGAATTCCCTTGAGGTATTCAGCATTTTAATTAATACCAGAGAATCCACGACTCCTTTGGTCATTGTTTCAGAGATATCACCTTACCACATTCCTCAATGCTTTCAACAATAATAGAGCTTCTAATGTACTGTCTTCACTAGAAAAGTTCTTAACAATTCAGGAAGATATTCAGACATGTATCTGCCTTGAAAATAGCCAGGTTGAACTTTATAGCATGGTCAAACATCAGCAGCTGATCCCAGGAAATATTTTCTGACATTTTGTCTTATTATAATTTTATGTCATGAAATTTGTCCAATTTCAATTCCACAGAAGCCATGGGTTCCGGATTTTGGACTAAGTAAACCCATTTCAGCTACCTTGGTTGAAAAATGATTGCCCTATGATGCACACTTCTGCCCAGTTAAAATTTACAGAGAGACAAACAGGCAAACTTTAATAGGATACAGATATCGCTCTGACTACCTTCATGAACGGAGTCCCCAAGACCTTGTTCAAAAGAAGCACAAAGTTATAAAGAAAGGAAAAATGCAACCATTTCTAGCACAATAAGCCCTATCGGGATCTCAGGCAAGCCAGGAAAGAGAGAGAAGAAATACTTGCAGGGATGTTTAATTTATTTATTTAACATATTTATTAAGCAGCCTATCTTATGCATATGACTGGGCAACACACAAAATTCAGTCCAAGCCATTATAAGACATTTTAAAAACTAAACAACTATAAATATTATCAAAGTCTTTGGGGAGGTCATTTAAACATCCTACATGAAATATAGCCATTTCCCGTTCCCTATTTCTGTAGGGTCACCAAGCCCACTGACAAAACCATATTTTAAGGATTCCCAAAAGTTAATAGAGATAGAATTGCCAGCCTCCCAGCACCTCAAAAAAAATGGCAGGTATGCCAAAACCCTCCATCAACATCTACACTTGGGCATGCAAGTGGATTGGAAATAGCTTTGTTTGGAAAATTGCTTCAACTCTTTTTGTGGTTGGCCTTCTCCTGGCATGTTGGGTGAACTAGCCATTATTTCTTCAGCAAACCACAATTAAGTCATGGATCATATAAAATATTATCATAATTCATACATGTTCCATATCTTAACTTGTTCTTATTAAAACATTTTCTTAACTATCCCAAGGATTTCCTACTAATACAATAATAAATGTTAAAGTTGTACTCTTTAGTTCCCTTTTCAGTAACAAAGTTATATTTATAACATAGTTATAAAATCATAGTATAAGATGCATGTTACAAGCAGGCAATTATCAGCAGAAACCAAGCTTACAAAGGATCAGAAGTTAAGAATGATAAAAGTATTGTTCAGCTGTTCCATAGCTTGTGGAAGATCAATGGATTTATATAAGGCTCAGGCTTCCGAAGAGTTGTGGTTTTTTGGCTGATATTTACCTGAATTGCTTTGTTGACTTTAACAACTATGAAAAGCCAACAAATAAATAAATAAATAAATAAATAAATAAATAAATAAACAAACAAACTTGATACATTCATGACTGACATTACTGAAAGGCAAGTAGTATTTTACTTACATATTTTAAGTGATTTAGTACGTATGCTGTCATATTGTTTTTATTGCATTTTATTGACTAGTAACGCAAATAGCCAGTTTGATTTGGTGAAAAAGGCATCTGATTTTGGCACAGAATGCACAACTTGCTTAACAACCAGAATATTTGCTTAATGATTGCAGCATCTGTTTTACAATTGAGGTAAAATAAGGTTGGTCAGGGGGATGCCTTTATTTACGAACATCATAAGTTACAATGGAAATTCTGAGCTCTATTACAGTCATAAATTGAGGACTGTCTATATTGGATAGCAGCAGCATGATGGGAAGATGTTAGATAATCCCTTCAGTGGCAATTACAAGGGGGTTATTTCATACTGCATGGGACCAGGCAATGGTAAACCACACCTCTATTTCCTTCAAAAATACAGAGGTACACCAAGGGGTGAGACATACACTCTCCTTATTAATTCAGCCTATATGATGTATGTATATGAGGGAGGCGGGATTGGGGGGAAATGACTGTGGCATTAAATTTGGTGGAGGAAGAAACAGCAATAATGTGATCTTGAGCATGTAGCTCTAGAGAGATGGGCAACTACGCTATATAAATTTGACAAAAATATAAATAAATTTGCCTCTTATTAACACTTTTTGCTTCAAAATACATGATTTAACTCATTTTTTTAATGGCAGTATGGCATGAGGGAATAAAGCAATTTCAGTTCCAAAGCCAGGCTTATATCCCAAATCAAAAGGCTCTAGAAGTCATCAAAATATAAGTGAGATTATACCTAGGTATCATTTAGCTATGATCTATATAACAGAACATATACACTAAAATCCTGTAACAAAGGACTTTTGAATTTAGTGGGGTTTCTTAGTAAATACCCATAAAACTCTTCTCCCCTTATCTCTCCCATCTAGAGAACGATGAGAATGATCCTGTTTAATCAAAACTCATGTCTTCTACATAAAGAGTTCACAAAATGCTGTATTACCATTTTAAAAAAGAAAATAGAGCAAGGATTTGAAATATTTTTGACAAGTCAAAGAATTATCATATTTTTATTTCACAGTAAAGTATGAGATAAACTCTGTTCTACCTTTTGGAAAAGAACATGAATCAGCTTTCTCTGGCTGACCTTTGCGCATCCGGTGTGCATAAATATTTGTAATGTTTAGTTCTCGTTCTCTTTCCTAAAGAAATGCATTATTAAATTTATGTTGATAATATAGATTATTGTATTAATGTCGGTTCTTCAGAGATCATACATTTCACCGTGTAATTCCCCCAGTATCTCATTTTATTTATCATTATTTTAAACATTTGCTTAGGCATCATTTGGCCAAATACTTCTTTTTCTAAAGATTCTGAAAGATAAATATCCTTTTATTCTGGAACTGTGAAGTTTGTGATCGAGTTTTTTTTATTTTTACAATTCATAAACAATTAAATTTGACTTTAAAGGTCCTTCTGAAATGTTTTGATACAAAATAGTTATGACATTAACCAAGTATGCAGTATTAAATATGTACTATAATTACAATGTAAATATTAACTGCTTTTTAATTTTCTATCAATACAGACCTTGATTAATATGTTTTCATGTTGGGACACACTTTTCAAGTAGTGTCTGTTCTTGGTAACGTGCAAATGGACTAACATAAATTAATACATTTCTGCAATCTAGAGTTTAGATAGTTCCAGGCTGATAGAAAGACCCACAAAACAAGATAGGCTCATTTCAAATGAGCCTTTAGTGAATAGCATCTTGGATGCCTTCTGTGGTAAGAGAAATGTAATTTAAGCTTCTAAATACCTTAAGTTTTAGCTTCAGCGACTCCATTTCTACTTCTAAATTTGCTCTGATTGAATGAGCTTCAATGATCTTCTTTTTCTCAACTGATAATTTATGTCGAAAAGAAGCAGTGTTCGATGAAAGCTGCTTTTCCAAATCCTAAACACATTAGAAATAAACCATCAATAAGTTTATTGAATTTTTACAAACATAAAATATTGAATTAGAAATTAGAGGAAGGCAACTGAAATATTAGCAAATGTTTCCAAAAAGATGAGAATCCTCAATCTCAGTTATAATACTCACAATTTTTCAGTCACACAGAGTCCCGCTATGTAGTACTAAGCAATGTATGTTGCATGTTACCTGAGTTTTCTTATTTGTAGCTTCCAATTTTTGGGTAAGTGATCTTAATTTACACTGAACTTCTTCTCTCTCTTCAAGTTTCTTCTTTTTACAAAGTTTCTGCAGTGACCTCAAGACATCCATTGTTTTCAAGTGTTCTGCCTGAACGTCTCTCAGCTTGTTGGAAGCTTTGCACTCTTTTTCCTGAGATTTCCTGAGATCTGCTCTCAGAGTCTGCCCTTCATTAGCGTGCGTGGCCAAAAGATCAGACAGGTTAACCTCTGCATTTTCGTATGTACTGATTGCTTTTAAATGTCGGGACTGGAGATGCTTCAAGATTTTATTTTCCGTAGTAAAAGTTTCCAATTTATTCCGCAGAACAGCCGCTTTGTTTTTCAGTTCTTTAATTTTATGGTCTCTTGCTGACAATAGATGACAAGCTATCTTATTTTTCTTCTCCTTAGCATTGACGGTATGGTCAGTAATAAATGTGTTCTTCTGCTGAGGTTTCTTTTTCGGCAATGTTTTACCTCCTACATTAAAAAATAAATAAATGAAGATGGCATATAAAATTGAGCAAAGTAAGAATCACATCATTTTACATAAGCCTCAGAGGCAAATGCTCAAATATGTATTCACGGCATAGATTCGCTTCCTTTTATATAACTTTTTGAGTCAATCTCTGATGCAGCTATTTGTTGATTGACCTATTGTGAAAAATCATAACTGAACTCTCATAATATTAGCTTCCGTAAGACATAACTGCTCTAGTCACATAATATGCTAAGACAGTATTTAGACAGCTTTAAGATGCATTGACTTCAACTCCTAGAATTCCTCAGCCAGACATGCCTAAAGCAGGATTGCTAGCCCAGCACCCTAACTACTATACCAAACTGCCTAGACAGACAGATGGATAGATATACATATCCATGCGTACATACCGTATCCAAATAATGATAAAATAATGAATGTAATAGACTGAAAAAAATGAAGTGTGACCATTAAAATTTGCCAACTCTTTTTTTTTTTTAATACTGGAACCTATTCCCTGGCCCTTGGTTTAGTTATTGAAACCATGTGACACTGACATCTGTATGACCATGATAACTGGTGAACTACATCCATCGCTACAAGCCCCATTACCTCAATAGAGGAATTACTGACAGGGTGTGGAAAACAGTACATTAATATATTAATCAACTGCATACAATTTAAACATTTTATCAACATTCATATGGTTTCCAAAATGATAGTATAGTCTCTAGAGTATAGAAGTGTCAGGATAGCTAAGCAAAAGTGGAGTTATAGGACAACTGCTTGATTTTTAGGAAAGGATTAGCTGTCATTAGTTCGGCTGAAATCTGCCAACCACAGCGAATGCAGTAGTGTTCAAAGTGAGCAATTGCCTTTGTTATGTCCTTATAAGGACATCCGCCTGGATTGGCTGCCAGCCATCGGGCGGGAAGTTTGAATTGCTGTCAGGGGCGGTGCGACTGCTGGAGCGAATATAAGGAGAGCTCCGGCAGCGCACAGCCAGTCTTGTTACTGTTTCCAATAAAGTTACTAAATGTAACGAGCTGGTCGCGTCTTCATTTCCTGCGCCTGATCTAACACTGGCGACGAAGGACTAGAACCAAGCGACGAACCTCGTGGCGCGAAGCCAACAAAGAGCAAGCCACTCAGCAACTGAAACCACCGGTAGGCATTTCCGAAGGCATGGCAGCAGCCGAAGTCACATTGCCAGCCCTTGCTCCATTCCGCCCAGGGAAGGACAAGTGGAAATACTACGTGGTCAAATTACAGCAATACCTGAGAGGCAACAATATCAGGGATGCTGATGATGACCGCAAGAAGGGCATCTTCCTGGCCAACTGCGGCTCAGAAGTCCTCGACATGGCCATTGATCTGGTGGCACCCGTGGTGCCACGGGACATCGAGGAAGTCCCATGGACGGACCTGCTGCAGATCCTACAGGACCATTATGCCCCAACAGGAACACCAGTGGCGAACCGGTTCACCTTCCATCAGAGAGACCAGAAGGAAGGGGAAACCATCAAAGAGTTCGTGGCCGCCCTGCGCCAAATCGCAGCCAGCTGTGAGTTTGACCATGTGGACAACGCCATCGCTGACCGTGTGGTTTTCGGCATGAGGGACAGAGGCCTGCAAAAGAAGTTCCTGAGCAGGAAAAAGCTCGTGCTCAAGGACGTGGTGGAGGAAGCTACCGCATCCGAAATCTCCGAAAAAGCGGCAGCCGCAGTAATCCGGGCAAAGGGAATCCACAAGATTCACAATGCCACCCAGTCATCGACTGAAGATTCCACAGCTGGCTCGGAGTCGGAGGAAGAGTCCACCATCCACAAGGTATCCAGACCCCCAAGGCGGGAAACCGCTCAAAGAAGCTACAAGGGGGAGCGCTGCGCCAGCTGCAGAGGGGACCATGCCAGGGCAAACTGCAAGTGGAGAGATGCGACCTGCAGACGTTGCAACAGAAGGGGTCACATCGCCGAAGCTTGCAGAGCCAAGGAACCAGCCCCAGAACCCTCCAGCCACCGTCCTCGCGAAAATCTGAAAGATTACCAGAGATCATCCAAACGGTCCTCTGGCCAATCTAGACGCAGAGACAACGAATTCCCCAGAAGCGGAGCGGTCCACCAGACGACCATCGTCCACACCAACTCAGACAATGCCACCAAGTTCCATGTGACCGTCCACGTGGAAGGACTGCCATGCTCAATGGAGGTAGACTCGGGCTCGGTCTACTCCATTATGGATTGGCACCAGCTGAAGCACCTGCAACCCAGCATCAGCAAGCGAGACCTGAAGCCACTGCACTCCAAGCTTGTCGATTTTGGGGGAAACCCCATCAGAGTCATAGGAAGAACCAACATCCAAGTCTCCTACAACCAGTTCCAAGGCAAGCTCCCCATCACAGTCGTGGAACACAGCCGACCGAACCTGCTAGGAGTGGAGTGGTTTAAGCCGCTGGGGCTATCGATCGGAGGCATCCATCAAATTCAGAGGGATGAACTCGACAACCTCATCGAAGAGTTCAAGGAAGTCTTCGATGGTAAACTGGGGAAATTTGTGGGGAGGCCAATCTCCTTTAATCTGGACAAGGGAATCACCCCAATTAGGCTGAAGCCCCGCCGGGTTCCATTTGCCTTGCGGCCGAAGGTAGACGAGCAGCTAGATAAGCTGATCGCCCAGGGCGTCCTGGAACCTATCGATCATGCTTCATGGGAAACCCCCATTGTGACCCCACTGAAGCATGATGGATCTGTGCGCATCTGCGCCGACTATAAGTGTACAATCAATAAGGCGTTGGCACAGAGCGCATACCCAGTCCCAGTGGTGCAACATCTGCTGCATTCTCTGGGGTCTGGCTCAATTTTTGCCAAACTGGACCTGGCCCAGGCTTACCAGCAACTGCCAGTTGACGAAAAAACGGCGGAGGCCCAAACAATAGTCACACACAGGGGGGCATTCAAATGCAACCGTCTCCAATTTGGAGTCAGCGCTGCCCCCGGCATTTTCCAATCAATGATGGAACGCCTTCTCCAAGGCGTTCCAGGGGTGGTGCCATACTTTGACGATGTACTAATCTCCGGAGATTCCCAGGCACAACTCCTTGAAAGACTCAGGCTCGTCCTGCAGCGCTTCAAGGCCAAGGGCTTGAGAGTCAGGAGAGATAAATGCATCTTAGGAGTCCAGGAGGTCGAGTTCCTGGGCTATCTCATAGATAGCACTGGCATCCACCCCACCAAATCAAAAGTTAAAGCCATCCATGAAGCTCCTAGCCCCAAAAACAAAACGGAACTTCAGGCATTCCTTGGATTGCTTAACTTCTATGCCATGTTCCTCAAACAGAAAGCCACAGTTGCTGAGCCACTCCACCGCCTGCTGGGGAAAGCGGCTTCCTGGAAGTGGGACCAAGAAGAGGAAGCAGCATTCCGGGCCGTTAAAGGACTCTTAACTTCCAAAAGCGTCCTCATCCAATACAACGAGACACTCCCAATCAAGCTCACCTGCGACACATCACCATACGGGGTGGGGGCAGTCCTCAGCCATGAACTTCCCAATGGCTCTGAAGCCCCAATAGCCTACTTCTCCAAAACCATGTCCAGCGCGGAACGCATTTACAGCCAGCTGGACAAAGAGGCCCTGGCTATCGTCGCAGGAGTCAGACGCTTCCAAGAGTACGTCTACGGGAGGAGCTTCACCATAGTGACCGATCACAAGCCGCTCCTGGGACTCCTCGCAGGCGACCAACCAACCCCGACCTTCATGTCCCCGTGGATGACAAGATGGGCCATCTTCCTAGCCGGCTATTCCTACAGGCTCGTGCACCAGCCAAGCACATCCATAGGAAACGCCGACGCGCTGAGCAGATGCCCATCAAAGGACCCAGTGGAAGACCCAGCCCCCACGCTCAACCTTCTCCACATAGACAACGATGACAGCTGTCCAGTCTCATCTGCAGATGTGGCCGTCCACACTCAAAAGGACCCCACTTTCCGCCAGGTGAGATCCTGGATCCTCAGAGGATGGCCGACAGAGAAGACAGAGGAGAAGTTCAGCCCCTTCGTCAGGAAGCAAAAGGAGCTGTCCACTATGAAGGGCTGTTTGCTATGGGGAGACAGGGTGCTGATTCCAAGCACTCTGCAACGAAAAACACTAGAGACCCTGCATAATGGGCACCCGGGCATCGTCCGCATGAAAGCCCTGGCACGGAGTTACGTCTGGTGGCCATCACTGGACAGAGACATTGAAGAATGGGTCTCCAGATGTGACCCGTGCCAAGAAGTACGCCCAGCGCCGCCCCAAGCCGAAACAGCAAAGTGGGAGACCCCCAGCAACCCCTGGTCGAGGATCCACATCGACTTCGCGGGTCCGATGCAGGGGCGCCACCTACTCATCGTCGTCGATGCCTTCTCCAAGTGGCTCGAGGTGGTACCCATGGCATCTACCACAACGGAAGCGACGATCCGGGCTCTACGCCGCCTTTTCGCCACCCATGGACTGCCAGATGTGCTGGTCTCTGACAACGGGCCCCAACTCACGTCCCTGGCCGTGGAGGCATTCCTGGCCGGACTGGGCATCCGCCATGCCCTGTCCGCCCCTTACAGGCCAGCTGGGAACGGACAGGCTGAACGGATGGTGAGACTCACCAAGGAGGCACTCACCAAGATGGGCACGGGTGACTGGCAGGAAAGAATTGACAACTTCCTCCTCACCCAGCACATCACGCCACATGCCACCACCCACAAGAGCCCAGCCGAGATGTTGATGGGCAGAAGGCTGAGGTCACCATTGGACCGGCTGCACCCCCAATACAGCCCTGAAGTGACCGCAACGGTCAGCTGCCCGCTTCGCGCCTTCAGCAAAGGAGATCCGGTTTCAGTTTTAGCTGAAAACACCGCGCTCTCTATTTCCTGCAACCATTTGGCGCGCCTCAGCTGAGAGGCGCTAATTGCAGAGCGCTTTCCACCGGCATCGCTGCCGCCGTCTCAGCGATCACCAGCTGAGAGGC